AATTCATCGTCGGAATTCGCTTAGATATTTTTTTAGAAAATCATGAGCTGTAATTAGGCGTACGACTTTCATCTCAAGTTAGCATGCGAGTTTTATTACAGAGATTTCTTATACGACTTCTTTTGCATTTTTAAAAGTAAACGAAGTTAAAATTCAACTCAAACACGGATATGTATTTTCAAAAGCGAACGAATTTAAAAACCGACTCAAATACGGTTGACGTATTAAAATACTGACAAAAACATCTTCAATTTTTATAATAGTAGAGATAGAGAACAGACGTAGAGATTTATGCATGAGTACTTCATCGTATATGCGTCTAAATTTGTACCGATAGATAGACCAAAACATCTTAAAAAAGCTATATCTATTCGCTCCATCATATAATATAAAGAATTTTGATTTTTTCTTGCACTATTTGACTACTCGTCTTATTAAAAAAAATTTGTGCAAATATAAAAAACAAAAAGTTGTGTTTAAAATACTTTAAATAATAAAGTAAGTCACAAATAAAATAAATAATAATTCTATTTTTTTATAAGACGAATAGTTAAATAGTGTAAGAAAAAGTTAAAATCTTTTATATTATGGGAGTATCGAAGGAACCACTTGCGGCCAAATGTGGGTTAGGTGGTTTCGGTGTGCGCGCCGCGCACCCGGCTGCCGGCCTGCGTTGTCGGCCGCTGCTGTCCCATGCCCCGTTCCCATGCCGCGCCCGGTGACGACGCTTGGTGGCGTCGTGAAACGCAAAGGAAAATCTCGGTACAGACAGCTCGGCCCAGTACTACAAAAACAATCACCAAATCGGGCCCGGCCACACATAAAAGCGTCCTAATAAGCTCGCGGGCTTAGCACAAACAATAACAATGTTGATGTTATTATGCTACCACTAATTAATGTCGCATGTTAATATATATGCCTTTGTAGTTTGTCCTCGTATATCACCACCACATTTTATATATATTCGTCTCGTTGGACAATCAGTGTGCTATGTGCATTTGTGTGTGTTGCACATGTTTGACAACGATCGATCGCTTGCACGCACTGTTCATCACTGTTGCGTGAGAGGATCAGAGGACTCGACCAAAAGGGATGTTCAAGCTTTGGCAACCGGCTCACGTATCAAGTGCGTCAGACCATATCTGTCTCGTTTCCTTTCCTAACCTTTCTTTTTTTTTCCCTGAAGGGTGTGCTTTCTGTGAAATCAGTAGAGGATGTAAACCATGGTTATATTCTTAATTTCTGTTTGGTATTATCGTAGATTATGATAATTTCGAACCATGTGAAACAACTTTTATTTAAAACTATGTTACATACTACTCTCCGTCTACAAATTTTGTACAGGGACTATAATATTTTTATGATCTCTCCATAAAATAAAGAAAATTATTTCAGGTACTTCCTCGAACTGATCGCTTGGCGCATTTAAACCCTAAATTTTTTGGATAATTTTACCCTATTCTCGGTAATCCACTTTACTTCTTATTGATATTTCTTTTTTTCCTCCTTAAATTTGTATTTAAAGTTTCAGTTTTTTTATTCCCCCTATCTCCGTGTTGATGAGGTGACTCAAAAACGACTCATGCTTTCTCTCGGCTGACCCTTTCCTCCTCCAGTTCTGACGGCTATTAGTCACCGATTAGGAGGGAGGAGCAACCGCGGTCGGGCTTGTTCCGTGGTTGGCTTAATCTTGTTTCCCTTTCTTGTTCAAATTGAAGGACTTTTCAATGTCCACCTCCTTCATCACGGTTGTGGCTAGTTGTGGTTGGAACTTCCAAACTTCTCTCCGGCATCTACCATCCGGTCGACCGCTAACTACTACTAGGCGTGCCACCAATGCTTGCCACAGAGAGAGCAGTATATGTGCACCAGATTTGATGTCAGTCCTCCATTTTCACAAGAAGAAGGTTGTCCCAAATGATATGAACTTCTTCAATGAGTTTTCCTCAATCGCCTTCCCCAAGAGGAGAGAGCTATGCAGAGACCGAGGGTGGTCTTAGAATGATTGTATCCTCTTGATGTAATTATCTAAGATCGATAAAACTCTCTTTGTCAAAAAAAAAAAAAGAGGAGGGAGCTATTGGTGGCGGAGAGAGGTGCAAATATCATGTGAAGGGCAGGCTGAACGATGGTGCTAGTCAAAGTGACGGAAGTGGGCAGTGCACTAGGCGGAGATACATACTTTCCATGGTTTATTATTGGATGACAATTTTGTATGGTTCTAGCATCATAGTTTGACTATGTAATCTAGGTAGTTCACAAATGATATCTAGAACTAAAACTTGCAATTTGTGATATTAATAAAGAGGCAATGGTTTTCGTTAATCTCTATTGAGCTTTCATAGCTATTTTTCATGTTAAACTAGGGGGATTGCCTTGCGCAAAACTGCAGTTTTGCCCGTTGCTAGATAATTCACATAGAGTAAGATTTAATATGTAACTCCAAAATTTTATTTATATAGGTACCATTATATGTGAAATTATATTTGAATTTCATATATGATTCTTAGGTTCTATTTTTATAAGCTCTAGATTTCATATACAACTCTTAAATTCTATTTCTGCAGATATAATTGTATTTTATATAGAACAATATCAATTGATCTACACTTTTATAATCCGAACCCACCATGATCTAACACTTAAGATATTTTTCTTTTTCTCCAAATAATTATGTGACAATTTCTGGTTTTCAAAATGAACGTGGTGCCTTCTTTCAAGTCAGTCTTAGTAAAATATTATAATAGATAGATACTCCCTTCGTTTCAGGTTATAAGACATTTTGACTTTGGTCAAAGTCAAATTGCTTTAAGTTTGACCAAGTTTATAGAAAAAAGTAATAACATTTTCAACCCAACACAAATTTATTATGAAAATATATTCAATTATTGATTTGATGAAACTAATTTAGTATTATAAATATTACTATATTTGTCTATAAACTTAGTCAAACTTGTAACAGTTTATCAAAACGTCTTATAACCTGAAACGGAGGAGCAGATCATAATGTCCTTATCTGTCCTTATCTAGGCCTAAAGTTCTTCTTAGCAGTAAGTCTTCAGATGGAGGAAAAAAAAAACATCACGTAGCAATTTTTTTTGCCATGTTTTAGGTTCCTCTCTGTTCTTCTCATAGATTATCTTGCAATGAGACATTTGCCTTTTATTTGAGGTCCAATTTATGAGGCTCTTGGATTGAGGGTTTACTTATGTTCTTTTGCCATATTGTAAGCATGTAAGTGCTGGCGTTAATTACTTATGTTCCTTTGGTCATATAGCTGCACTATACATTTCTTTCAAATCCATAATTGTGGTTTGAGTAAAATGCACCTGCGGTCCTTAAATTTGTCAGCAGGTTTCACTTAGGTCCACGAACTTGCATAGTGCACATCGAGGTCCCTAAACTTGGTTTATTGTATCATCCCGGTCCAAAGCCGTGTTTGACCGTGGTCTTGCCTACGTGGCACGCCACATGAACGATGACATGGAATTTTTTTAAAAAAATTCTCCCTTCTTCCTTCTTTTTTCACCACTGCGACAACCCCTCCCCTCGTGCCGCCTCTCACCACCGAGAAAAAAGAAGGAAGAAATAAAAAAAAGAAGGAAGAAGGAAGAAAAAAAAATTCCATGTCATTGTCCACGTGGCGTGCCACGTAGACAAGACCACAGTCAAACGCGGCTTTGGATCGGGATAATACAATAAACCAAGTTTAGAGACCTTGATATGCACTTTGCAAGTTCGTGGACCTAAGTGAAACCTCCTGACAAGTTTAAGGACCGCTGGTGTATTTTACTCTTGTGGTTTTATCCATACGTGCTTGTGCTGCAGTCCATTTTGCTGGTGTAGTGATATTAGGGGGGCCATGCATTAGAGTTTTGGCTTTTAATTTGTACGAAATATGGTGAAGAACTTTAGATCTCTCTCTGTGGAGTATTGTATTAGCTGCAATAATTTCAAACTTTAGGGATCTCAATTCTTGTTTTGGCATTAGAAATTTGAACTGTGCACCTGTCATTTTGCTGGTTTCTTTTCCTCTCAGGGCAGGAGGATCATCCCCACTGACAACCAGAACACGGCGTCAGTATGCCTGACCAATCAATTAATGATGGATGCCACTGACAACCGGACCACGGCGTCTTCGACACCACCATGATTTCTGACTGGTTATTGGGTTAAGCTTCGTTATGTCATCTCCTAATTTTTTTATGTCCATGTTTGCTTAGAGCAAGTTTAATAGTATAGCCGACTACTAACTCTAATTCATCTATAGCTAATCTAATAACTCATTCATACAATAGTTACATACTACACTATTAATACCTGGTCCCACTTATCATACACACAGCGTGTCTTAGAGTCCGTGCTACAACTGGCTATAAATTTGTAGTCCGCTGCTCTTCTCTCTTTTTATTTATCTCCTTAAAATATGTTTGCAGCTGGCTTATAGTTTGCTATTGTACCTGCTCTTACGATGGTTTATCATTCTCCAGATCTATGAACTGGTTCTTGATCATTTGATCATCATGTGCTTGAAATTTTACACATTTGGTCCTGAGTCTGTATTAAATGTGTAAAATTTCAAGTGATAAGGTCTTCTCCAGTGTCATGATCAGTTTGCTGATCGTCACATTATCAATTAGTCCCCTTTAATTAATCCAAGCGTGAAGCATGCATGCTTACGTGGAACAATTAATTATATATAAGCCTTGCGGACTTGCACAAACAAAGATGTATATAGAGGCATAAGTACATAGTACTCCCTCCGTCAAAAAAAAAAAATAAACCCTGGATTTCCGTGTCCAACGTTTGACTGTCCGTCTTATTTAAAAAAAAATATGAAAAAAAAATTAAAAAATACAAGTCACGCATAAAGTATTAATCATGTTTTATCATCTAACAACAATGAAAATACTAATTATAAAAAAATTCATATAAAACGGACAATCAAAAGTTGGATACGAAAACCCAGGGTTTATCTTTTTTTTGGTCGGAGGGAGTATATAGTAGGAGTAGAGGAGCAAGACTAATTTGAGAGGACACAACTCTGAACTGTCTTACTCAAGCTCAGCAAGATAGATATCGATGGCAAAGGAGTGCGGCAGCAGCAGTGTGATCGTCGGGGTGGTGAAGGTGAAGGTGGTGCGAGGGACCAATCTTGCCGTCCGTGATGTCTTCAGCAGCGATCCCTACGTCGTCCTCAAGCTCGGCAACCAGGTGATCTCTTTCACTCTTTCGACCTGCTAATTAAGCTTGCTAGTACGTACTATTGCCGAGTTATTATTGAAGGCCTGTTCAGATTGTAATTAAAACAAACCTTACTAAAATTTGGTAATCTTGCTAAATACTGCATCAATTTAGTTTTTTACCAAACTCTAGTAAATACATAGAAAATCCTGTCAAAACTTGACAATATTACCAAATTAAAAAAATGGTATTGCTAAAATTTGGTAAGGTTTATTTTGGCTACAATTTGAACATGCCATAAGATTATTAAAAATTGCTCCGTATTTCGAACGAATTTGTACCAAATTAACTGAAATATGTTCAAATGGATCATCTGAAACCTCTGGGGTATAACATTAGCTAAGTGAAAGGAATTGATTTGCGAGATGTGCATACGTATACGTGCCATTAAAGATTTACTGGATTTAAAAAATAACATTACTATTCGACTATTCACAAACATGCCATTACAATTTCGATGAAACACCTTCCATGCCACGTTATACGCTGGAATCGCGTCTGTAGCCGTTTTTTGTGCACTGTATTTTCGTATGGACTGGAATGCCCCCAGCATATGTTGAAGAGGGACCTCATCTATTCGGTTTGACCAAACCGAGTCCCTGGAAATTAAATCACCACTCCCTGGAGTGGCCTCGGTACAGGGGCTATTATTCAAGTTGGACCATTGCAAATGCTCTTAGGTAGAGGCTTTATCATAACAATTTATGGTGTTCATCGATTGATTTGGACCAACTTAAGCTGCCGAATGGTGCGGTCGTGACTCGGTCAGAGCTAAAATATGTAGTTTTCGCTGCCAATGCATGCATTCATATTGGTTGCTTCAAATGCTTAATTAGTTGCATTATTATCTCATGACACATCGATGTGAATGTACTGACAACAATCAAGATAACTGCTACACGAGTTGGGAATTGAAAGATTAGTTACTGGAGTATATGGGTAATCACAAATGATGCGGCATTGACGTACATCGAGTTGGTTTTTTAGATAATGGAATAGAAAATCCTGGTATTTGCTCAATGAGTTACAACTAATTATTATAGAGTAGCATACAAAATAAAAAGTTTCTCACACAAAAAAGAAGACACCTACCAACCCAAGATAAGGAGTACACAATTATTGAATTCTGTTTGTGAATCTTCATCCAAAATTAGTAAACAGTTACATAACCATTGCCTCAAGATTACGACATCGAGTTGGTTTGGGGGCAAAAACTAATAGTTGGTGACAAACTACCTGTTTGGCGTGCAATTCGGTACGTAGAGAAATACGAAAATGCAGTCATATTGTTTAGCTATACGCGTAACAACAGTCATATCTTGGAAAGAGCAGTGTCATGAGTACTTCGAAAATTCTTACAACATCCTTGCCAACGAGGAACGAAGTTCTCAACCATTTAATTTAATTAATTAAAAATCATAGCAAATCAAGATTCAATCATAATTTTTTACGAGAAACAACAGGATTATTAAAATAAAATATAAAAAAATGATATTTACAATTTTATTTATGAAGGATTAAAAAAGAAAAGAATTTTGTGAACAAAGGATCGATTCAATCGTAAGTTCATAGTGTGCTGAATTAGTACGAGGGATGAGCGGATCTTTATAGTTCTGGCTTAGTTGTAGGCCAGAAGGCGACCGCTCTTGTATAGCGGCCGGGGGCCAGGTTGTGCTAGGTTTCAGTTGTGTGGAGCTGTCGTGATCAGTAGGTGGTTGGCTCATGGGTGCAGTTGCCTAGTTGGATGATTTTTTCTTGGTTCTTTTTTTTTATAGCTTCCAAGGCTTTAGTTATATATATATTTTTTCTAATTTGTCAATAGAATCTTCGGTCTGGTGTTGGTCGTTAAAAAAAAATGTGCCATATGTAACAAGTGATTATGGCATTGTATGTTTTGGATTGAGCGTATCGTTTATACATTAATTTTGCTATATATTTGTTGACAAATTTTCTCCTAAAAATTTGACTGATATAATTATAGTATAATCGTAATGTAATTGCACTGTAACTTACATATATCTATAATATAATGTAACATGTATGTAACTTTCATATAATTTTAAACCGTTAGATTTGTTTCAAGATTTATTTAAGTCACTGACAATGGAAACCTGACTGCAGGAGGTGAGAACTCGTACAGTGAGGAAAAACACCAATCCAGTGTGGAACGAGGACCTGACGCTCATCGTTCAAGATCTCAACCATCTCCTCGTCACTCTCGTTCGTACCTTCCAATCCTCCATCGATCGATCGATGTACTCCATTGTGTTCTCCTAGCTAGGCTAGAGATCAATTAATCTCCGCTTGCTTGCTTACAGGAGGTCTACGACCGTGACCCGTTCGTCGACGACCCCATGGGCGCGGCGTTCTTCGAGCTCCGGCCGCTGGTGGAGGCGGCCGCGGCGAGCAGCCGCCGCCGTACCCCCTCCGGCGTTGACAGTAAAGAGGACGGCACCGCCGTGGTCCCAAGGAGCGGGAGCTCCGTTGTGTGGTCGGCGTCGGAGGGGAAGGCGGCGCAGGGCCTGGTGCTGAGGCTCGCCGGCGTCGAGTCCGGCGAGGTGGAGCTGCAGCTGGAACTGGAATGGCACGGCGGCGCGGCTGGCGACACCTCAATGATCGATCGATTGATTGATCGTAACTCGTAAAGGCCTGAATTAAGACAGAATAAATCGACTGAGCTAGCTCAAGCTTGTAAGATCGAGTTCAGTCAGTACCTCTGGTTCGATCGAAAATTTAGTTTCTCGTTTCGATTTCAAGAAACAAAGCAGCTCAAGGATCTTGCATGCTTGTATTACTATTGAAGCGATTGTTGAGACAAGTTTGTCCAATGCTTTGTGATTTCTGGTAAATTGGATTATTAAAAGTTTTATCGCATGATTAGCTATATTTATAGCACCATCTTTTAAGAAAAAAAATAGGCTGTTCATTTTTTACATTCTAATTTACATACACATTATAAATACACTGTAAATTTTGTAAGTTTCAATATTTACATTTGTAATCTATACTAATAATATAAAAAAGATAGTAGTGGTGGCGAATATATCACTGCCACTCAATTATTATACGGTACCCATAAACAATAAGATAAAACTTTACATGGCCCGTATGCCTAACTCAACAGATACCTTCAAATTAATAGAAAAAATAGCGTGATGATGATATATTAAATAATAAAAATAATTTATATATACTAATCCGTTACGACACACATGTATTATGCTAATTTTTCTAATGCACAATGTATAAGAGAATTAGGATTGGAACTAATTTATTATTTACTTAAAAGATAAAAGAACTGATAGAAAAGATAGAGGCATACTTATACGTAGAACAGGGGAAAATTGACTAAAATTAAGTGAAAAATATAGCACCATAATTTTAACAATGATGTTACAATTTCACATAGTTGCCCAAGAATAAAAAAAGAGGGGGAAATATTGAGAGGGCCTCGGGCAGTCGGGCTATCTATGAGCTAGGCTAGGTCAAGGGCGACCCAGTGTGTGATATAAAGTTGGAATAAATCTATTTTGCCTCCCCAATCTCTTGATCCTGTATCGCTCCACCGCAAAGCCAGGTATAATGCCTCCACCATCTTCAATAATCAGTGCAAATTAACTTCTCGGTGGTTTGGAACGTGGTTTTTGTCAACAACGCCCATATGTAAGTGAAATATGATAAAACATATGTGGTGGGCCCCACATGTCAATTTCCTTTTCTCCTTCTCCACCTCCCCCCTCTCTCTCCTCGCATTCTTCTCTATTGCAGAGGATGAGTTGGTGCCAGCACTCACGAAGGCGGTGCATGGCATGGTCACCTCGATCTCTAGGTCTGATCGGCTAGCGCTGGCACCATTGCCTCTAGGACGAGCACGCATGCGCACGCCAGGTCGGTGGGGGATCTTAGTGCCCGTTTGTCCAAGGGGAGCACCTCAGAGATCACGTCCATGACAAATCTCGCCTGATTGATGCAACGCTTGAGCACGTTAGGGAGCTCGTCACGGAGTGTGTCCACCTCCTTGCGCGCGCCTCGCGACCCGCAAAAGTGAAGAACCCCGCCAAGTCCATGCTAGCGCGGAGTGACCTAAGTCACTTAGCAATTCCATCGGTGGAGCCGGTCCTCGCGCAAAGCTCTTGGACAGGGAATCGAGCTGCAAGAGCGCGAGATGGAGCCGTCGATGGAGGCCTCCTGGCGGTAAAGCGCCTCGAGCCTATAGTTTCCGATGTGGAATACTTCTTTGTCGTGTAGTAGCTCGTAGTGAAAAGCTGCCATGGATTCGATGACGAGAAATTCATCAGAGGAATAGAAAAACAAAGAGAGAGGAAGAATGTTGCTTGCCTTGATGGCCTTTTCTATTGCTTCCTTTGCACCGCCTCCTCCTTAGTGTCATTGAGCTGGTGCGCAACGTTGCACTTTTCCCAGTCCTTCGCATGTTGAAGAACATGCACTTGGTGCGGGCCACGGAGCGTCTCGAAGCAAGCCGAGAGGCAGTGCTCTAGGGAACTGAAGTGCTCCGTGAGTTGCTGATACAGGCGCGTGCAGGTCATGAGCAAGAGGAGATGACGTTGTGCTTGCGCTCCCTGCACCGCCTTTGCGAGTGCTAACGCCAATGCATCCTCCGCAGCAGAGAAGAATGCAAGGAGAGAAAGAGAGGTGAGGAAGGAGAAAAGAAATTGACATGTGAGGTTCCCTGCATATGTTTTGTCATATCTCTCTAACATGTGGACCTCGCATGCAGAAAACCGCTTCCCAAACAACTAAGGAGTCGATTTACACTGGTTTTCAAAAATAGGGAGATCTTATACCCGATTTTACTGTTGAGGATTGTGACTTAAGCAGGAGGGTAAAATAGGCTTATCCCATACAAAGGGCCTGTTTGGGAGAGCTTCTAGTAGCTGCAGCTTCTTCTACAATCTCCAACTGCTAGAAGTTCCTTCAAACAGTTCAGATTTTCACCTAGATTCTGAGAATCTGTAATTGTAGAATTCAGAAAATAAACTAGCTAGAAGCTGGATTTCCTAGCTTCTCTCGATTCTCACCCTGCTGCTTCTCCGAATCTTAAACTCCCCAAACAGACCCAAAGTTTAGGCACAGCCCGGCCCGCTTTTGGGCCTTGCGCCTTCCGGGCCTCTCGTAAAATGCATTGGGCCGGTCCATGTCTCAGTTCTATCCGTCAACAAACCTACAATTAATACTCCGGGCCTGCACGGCTTGGACCCGGTCAAGACTCACCACGGTCCACGCAGCAGCGGGCAGCGAGGAGGAGAAGATGCCGCCGCCCGTGCCGCCGGAGGAGCGGCGGAAGCCTTCGCCGGCGGAGTCCCGCCAGTGGACGCAGCGCTTCTTCCAGGTCCTCGGCGCCGGGGAGCCCCTCCCGGCCCCCGCGGAGCTCCCCGCTGCCTACTCCGCGCTCGTCCGCGGCGTCCTCTCCTCCGCCGCCGTCTCCTCCTCCGCCTCCCCGCGCGTCTCCTGCACGCTCACCGTCTCCCCCGCCGCCGTTGTGAGCGCCCCCCCCCACCCCCACATCTCCTCCTCCGCTGAATCCTATCCTATTCCTACCCTAGCGTCGTGATGACGTCGTCGCTGCTCGATCCGCGACTTGCAGAACGGGTACAACACGCTCCACGGCGGCATGGTGGCGGCCGTGGCGGAGGCCGTCGGGATGGCGTGCGCGCGCGCCGCGGCCGGCGACAAGGAGATGTTCCTCGGCGAGCTCAGCACCGCCTATCTCTCCGCCGCCCGACTCAATGTGAGCACACACACAACATCGACCTCCTCCCAACCCCAACAGGCGAACCTACGTTTTTCTTTTTTCAGAAAAAAAAATTGCATCGTTAAATAAAATTTGTTTCACTTATTGGATTATTCCTATCTTGGGTATTGGAGGGAAATTGATTACAGCGACCGATCTGTGGTTGGGGTAATTGGTGCTGGGTAATCTAGCAAGAGATGAGCTTTGTTTTCTTTAGGATTGGAATCTGGCAACAGCTAGTCCACCATCTGAGATGAAGTAGTTTATCTAGGACTGGTGGTAAATATATTTCAGGACTGCAAGAGGGTGGGTGATCCAGCTGTAGAAGGTGTATTTATTTCTAGGATGAATCAAAATCATCCAAACAGGGAAACAACTGTTCTAAACAGATGGTGAAATGAACATAGTTTATTCTTTTGTCACTTAAATAGTTCCAGTGATATATTTGAACCCTTTGCTATTCTCTTGATATATATGCATGTAATAATTTACCAATGAAAGCTGATTTTGCACAGGAACAATCCAGATTACAGAATTCAGTCCTTCTGGACATGGTGCCAGTTTAATAATGTGCAGACATTCCACAGCATAAAAATGTCATTGCACTACCACTTTACCGCACTGTGTTGCTAGCCTGGTGCCCAAACTCACAACATCATATACCCTGTATGAAAGCACAAATTAACCATTTCAACCACAACATACAAATGCAACTCCTCGTTTTCAGAAACTTCCATCTTATTAGAGGTTTAGAGTGAAGTGTGTATTCTTTTCCCTGATGTTCCCGTTGTTTGTTGATGCAGTCCGAAGTGGAAGTTGAAGCGCAGATACTCAGGAAGGGCAGATCCGTGGTGGTTACTACGGTTGAGTTTAGGCTCAAGGATACCAAGAAGCTCTGCTATTCATCTCGAGCCACCATCTACATCATGCCTGTGGTGAGCCTGTGAAAAACCACATGGTACGTGGATGACCAAGTGTTTGTTTACACAACAATTACTGTGTAGTATATATATGTGCATATATAGCAAATCTATATATGCCACATTCACAAACATAGATGAGAACATTATCATATGCCTATCCAGCAACCTTCCAAAGCTCAGATGCCTTGAAAGGCTTCCCTTTAAGTTCCGCATCCTTGTTATTTTCACTTGGAACTTCAGCCAACAATGAATGTATGTTAGTCAGGACATCCAGACAAGAAGTATATAAAAGATTAAACCATGCGAGCTAGTATATGATACAGTTCTGTTTTCACGCTTTGACCTTCAAGTCTTATTGCTCCGCAGTATTCATCCATGTCCTATTTAAACTGTGGTTTCCGTTGAATCAGATTCCTCGCAATTCAGATCCCAGCATACTCTTGTTCACGTTCGTGAGGTTTTTACGGAATAAATTAAATCTTAAAATGCTGATATTTAGGACGCTTTCTTGCAGCAATAAATAGATATTTATCCAGTTTATACATGCCCACATACGCCAGTTTATACACGGCATCTCCCAGATGTTGGGCCATATATTTTCCTGTTCTATTCACTGCATTTCGTTCGTCATACTGAGCTTCTAAACGGTACGATTTTTGTAAAACCTATATTTATATATAAATTTCTTAGAAAATTGTTTTAAATTTGTTCACCTTTAAATAATTATCATAAATCATTCCACTATTCAGCCACTGCTTGCCTAGACGTCATATATTCTGTCAGAGTAACAATGTCACCCAAATACTCTTACATGTCCAACCATACCATTGCCACCTCTATTGACACGCCGACGGCATAACCATGATACTGTCTTATTGGGTCATCTATCTAGCTGTATATCCCTGCTGCATTTGTTGCATTTTGCATTCCACTGCCTGGACACCATTCTGTCTGTCAGAGGCACAAGTTCTCTGAATTCTATCATGTCTTTAACGATTTATGGTAGTTCCTTCGGCCCTCGGCATGAATAGGCCTGTACCCCCTCCATTTCATATTATAAGATATATTAACCTTTTCATAATCAAACTTATTTAAGTTTGACTAAGTTTATAAAAGAATTAGCAATATCTATAATACTAAAATAGTTTCATTAAATCTAATATTGAATATATTTTGATAGTATGTTTGTTTTGGGTTAAAAATGTTACTATACTTTCTTAGAAACTTAGTCAGGCTTAAAAATGTTTAAAAATGTTTGACTAGAAAAAAAAAAGACAGCGTAGGGAGTAGAATTCATACATGTCCAAACGGTGACCATTGCTTTCTAGTTACTGGAAGAAGGCACGGATACACATGCCATCATATACATGCATAGCACATACACGCAATGACAATGCAAGATTTTAATACAATGGGGTTGAAATGGGATATGATATCCATGACAATGCAAGATTTTAATACAATGGGATTGAAATGGGATATGATATCCATGTGGCCAAATACTCAGTTGGCCAGACCATTATAATTTAAGTTTTGATCCTGTGGTTGAATATTTTGAATGGACAAATCATTGAAGTATGATACTTATAATTGGTTAGTTTGGTTAGCTAGTTAAGTTCGACAATTGAAAAGATTAGTTGCTACTTAGCTGAGTAATTGGAAGCTGACGTGGTCACATGAGCTTGCTTCATTAATATTCAGACATTCAGTAGATGGCAACAAAGTAAATCACGTAATTGAATTAAGAGTAGGAAATTTACATGATTTCTTTGTTAGTTACATAGAGAGAATACTCAGATAAGCCAGGGAACAGGGCAGCGGTGCCCTGTAAAAGGTGCAGTGGACACATCAATTTATACTTCCTATAAATCACCAATACAAGTGCATGACTTTCTTTTTCCGATTGATAATCTGTGGCTGGTCAGAGAAAACATGCCGAATAGCTATATTTATATTTTGAGTAAAGTTCATCACCAGTCCCTAAACTTGTACCGCTGTGTCATCCCGGTCCCTAAACTCCGCTGTGTCATCTCGGTCCCTAAACTCGCAAATCGATCGTTCAGGTCCTCAAACTTGTTCGACTGTGTCATCCCGGTCCCTAAACTTACAGATCACTCGTTTAGGTCCTCCAACCTGTTCAGTTATGTCACCCCGGTTTCTAAACTTGAATGTAAATATCATCTGGGTTAAATATGACTGTCTAAAGACTTTATATTTAAAAATAATTCATACCTTTTCCATGTGAAATCTAATGAAGACAAACTTTATATTAAACTTGTAGCCATTGACGCGATCTACAACTATAGTTGATTTTTTTTATTTTAAGTCATTTTTTGGTCTCAAAATGTAATTTTAAAATTAAAATTTCAAAATCTATAAACATGCAACAATATTTTGGGACCCTAAACAGTTTTAATTCAAAAACTTTTCAACTACAAATTTGTAAGTCGCGTCGAGGGCTACAATTTTGATATAAAGTTTGTCTTCATTAGGGTTCACATGAAAAAGTTATGACTTATTTTTTGATATAAAGTTTTTAGACCGTCCTGTTTAGGGACCGGGGTAACACATCTGAATAAGTTGGAGGACCTAAACGAGTGATCTGCAAGTTTAGGGACTGGGATGACACAGTCGAACAAGTTTGAGAACCTGAACGGTCGATTTGCGAGTTTAGGGACCGGGATGACACAGCGGTACAAGTTTAGAGACCGGTGATGTATTTTACTCAAAATATAAATATAGCTATTCGGCATGTTTTCTCTGACCAGCCACAGATTATCAATCGGAAAAAGAAAGTCATGCACTTGTATTGGTGATTTTAACATGCTAGCTGTCACAAATCTCAGCACCTCGGTACTCGGGTGATCGAGTATAATGAATCTGAGCGCTTTTGGACTGATTGATCGGGTCTATGATACTGTTTGGGAAACTTAAGATTATGATTATGAGAATTTGTTGGCTGACAGTCAGTTTATGAGAGTATGAAAGAGCTGAGTTTTTTGCTTATGGTTTCTAGTTAGTTTTCTGGATTGTACAATTATATATTCGTAGAATCTAGATCACAACTGAGAAGCTACAGAATTCTCTTAAATAGTTCCTATATACTATGGTAATACTCCTGTAGCTAGTGATCCTGATCCCGGCGCACTGAATCAACTCGAATTAGCGAATTTCTCTCAACATACTCGAAAGAGAGAGAGATTTGGCGAAACATAATGACTTGTTTCTCTATTTTCTTTCTTTTACTTAGGCCGTGTTTAGTTGCTTGTCAAAATTTTTTTTTTGACGTATACGGATATACATTTAAAGTATTAAACGTAGACTAATAACAAAACAAATTACAGATTCCGACGATAAACTGGGAGACGAATCTTTTAAGCCTAATTAATCCATCATTAGTACATGTGGGTTACTATAGCACTTATGGCTAATCACGACGTAATTAGGCTCAAAAGATTCGTCTCGCGATTTACAGGTGGACTGTACAATTAGTTTTTCTTTTTGTCCATATTTGATGCACCATACATGTGTCCAAACATTTGATGTGACAGAAAAGTTGGAAGTTTGAATAAAAAAGTTAGAATCTAAACACAGCCTTAGTGTAAGTAAAATGAGTGGCTGACGATCGCGCCCCTCGATAAAAAACATCCTGCACCATCCCACACGATCGATCGTGACAAGTATGGAGAAAAGAAACATCGCAATAAATTTGTCCACTGAAAGCACACATCTCAGGGTCATAAACAAAAAGCGCCCTCTCCCCACGTAGTGCAGCCACGTGGCGCGCGCGGAAAGGGGAGATAGCGGAGCATGTGGATATGCGACAGTTTTTCCTTTTTCTCATGTTTTAAGGTATTTTTAGTTTTTACTAGAAAAATACCCATGCGTTGCAACGGGGTAAAAACGTTTTTTACCCTATACATTATACTCCCTTTGGTTTGGGACTGAACGCTCATTCCATCCTTTCTAGCTCCAGTCCTAACCTAGTCCACTACCTCCCTCTACTCAACCTATCTTCGACTCAGCCCACAAGTGGAACTGTATGCCCATCTCGAACAATCTCGTGCCTGTACCATAATGCCGATCCTCCCATCAAATCCGATACTCCGGTCAAGCTTGGATAGTAGCCGATCCTCCCATCAAATCCTGTAATCTGGTCAAGCTTACATAGTCTCGTGTCCGTACGATGACGGAGCCGATCCTCTCCATCAAATTTGGTCCAATCTTTCTCGATCTCCAAAATTTAATCTGGTCGAGCTCGTATAGTCTTCATAGTCCTGTGCCCGTGCGATGACAGAGCCGATCCTCTCCATCAAATCCGGTCCAATCTTTCTCGATCTCCAAAATTTAATTCGTTTGAGCTCGCATAGTCCTGTGCCCGTGCGATGACAGAGCCGATCCTCTCCATCAAATCCAGACAAAGCCAATCCTCTCCATCAAATCCGGTCCAATCTTTGTCGATCTCCAAAATTTAATCCGGTTGAGCTCACATAATCTCGTGTCTGTACGATGACAGAGCCGATCCTCTCCATCAAATCCAGTCGAATCTTTCTTGATCTCCAAAATTGTTGAGGGATTTTAATCCACTCAATCTCCTTTTTCTTTTTTTTTATTAAAATCTCCAAAATTGTTGAGGGAAAATGATGAGAGAGTAGTGAAGAATCAGTTTTTGCAATTAATTGGAGAAGGAAAACATGGGGAGGCAAAACAACATGGTGGTGACGCTGGGTTTGACACGGCGAAATAAACCGCAAAAAAAAGCGACAAAAGAAAAAAAGGGAAAACGGTGAAAAAAAAGAAAAACGGCGAAAAGAAAATAAAACGGAAAAAAACGAAAAAAAGGAAATGGAAACGAAAAAAAAGGAGACAGACAGCGAAAGGAAAATAAAACCGAAAAAAGGGAAAAAAAGAAACAGACGGAAATTGTTGGCAGAAGCCTTATGTATTTTTTAATTAGGTATATAGATATGTAGTATACATACGTATATAAAGTTTGTATATATGTATATATTTTTTATACATCAAAAGTGTATGCGTATAAATACATATATATTGTATATATATGTGTTGTACTTTACATATGCGTATAAAAATTTATACATATGTATATAAAGTATATACTACGTATACACGTAGAGAGGAGAGACCAGGGTTTTAAATTTCGAAAATGACATTTCTGCCGCAGGTGGGTGATAGAACCGAAATTTCGGAAATTTTCGAAAAATTTCGTATGAGATTTTTTAAATTTTTGACAGATTTTGAATAAAATTTAACCAAATTCACAAAAAATTACAAAAAAAAACCAAAATTTTCGGTCGAGATGTTAGGATTTCTGTGAGGGGCGAAATTTCTGAAATTTCTAAGCCCTGGGAGACACTGGAGGGGGGAAATCCACTGCGCGGGAGTGCAACTACCCGTGTAGTATCCCCCACACAATGTCTTATAAGTCGGACTCACTCAAGAATAGTGAAAAAGAAACAACGACTGAAAACCTATGCGGTACAGTAACTTTGAACATTGAAGAAATCAAGAAAATGCCAACAACTCCCATTACACAAATATAAGTATTTCTAAGATAAATATAAGTATTTTTAGGTTATTTAGTACATGGTAGGGATTAATAGTTACAAGAAAATATTTTAGGTTGTGTTCTGTAGCTGGTGAGAGAAGATTTCTCTAGTTCTCTACGTGCACGCTTTCCAAATTAATGAACAATGTGTTTTACAAAAAACAATCTATAGGAAAGTTGCTTTAAAAATCACATTAATTTGTTTTTAAAATTTAAAATAGTTAATACTCAATTAATAACACACTAATGGTTCACTTCATTTTACATATGTTCTCAATCTTCCATTTTCATGTCAAATCAAACATAGCCAGTGTCCGTTGTCAAGGAGATATGTTAGGGCATTAGGGGGTGAGAGATGGTTAAAGTGCGACAGTGTTTGGAGGTAAAATATGAAAAAGATATAAATAAGAAGTGATTTGATGTGATAAGTAATACCGTATATATTTTTTATATTTGTGAATAAATTCCAAATACTTTAAAATATAGGTACAGCCATATGGCGGATTCCCTACAAAAGAGAGAATACTCAGATAGGCCAGGGTACAGGGGTTCCCTATAAAGGTATGGCGCATTAAAGACGCACAATCGACACAAATCAAATTTATACTTCTCCAAATTAAAATATGAGAAAAATCAAAGAATTGCACAAACGTCCTAATCCAAGAAATACCATCGACGAACCCAACTTGAAAATGTCATCGTACAAACGCTTTTGTCACAGAAATACTGTTACCGTTAGATTTCCGTTAATAAAACTCCACTAAGTGCTATAAAAGACTATTTTACCCATATGAATTGTTGAAAACCAATTAAAACTTTTGCTCTTTCCATCAACTTACTATAATTTAGAGCAACCTACAAATTGTAAGCTGACGGAAAAAGAAAAACTTTTAATTAACTTTTAATAATTTGTTGAGATAGAATCGTCTTTTTATAGCACTTAATTAAGCATTGCTGACGGAAACCTAACGGCGATTGTATGGCTATTGTACTTGATGTGATTTGATGATATAAGTAATACTGTATAATTTTTTAATATTTGTGAATAAATTCCAAATACTTTGAAATACAGATACAGGTAGAGTTATTTGTTTTTAACTTTCAGGTACAGGTAGAGTAGATTCGATTTGATGATGTGAGGCTGAGATCCAAAGAACAGCCCTATTTTTTTTTGTCTAGTGATAAGCCTCCGCAGCCCTCGGTCCTATATATATCCATGCATGGTACGGTAATAATCAAGGAAGCAGCAAGCTAGCTAAAGCTAGCCCAGTCATGGAGAAAGAGCAGCAAGCCGGCCATGGCAAGCTCCCTCACGAGCAGCTGTTGCTGCAAGCCAGCACGGAGCTCATGAACCTCAGCCTGGGCTACGCCAGGTCCATGGCCCTCGGGTGCGCCGCCAAGCTCGGCGTCGCCGACGCTATCCACCGCGCCGGCGGCCGCGCCACCCTCCACGACCTGCACGCCGCGCTGTCCCTCCACCCGACCAAGCTCCCCTTCCTGCGCCGCGTCATGCGCGTGCTGGTCGCCTCGGGCGTCTTCGCGCAGGTCGAGGAGGAGGAGGAGGAGGAGGATCACTACCGCCTCACGCCCGTGTCGTCCCTGCTCGTCACCGCCGGCGACGGCAGAGGCAGGAGCCTCCTGCCGCTGGTGCTCTTCCAGCTCTCGCCGCTATGCGTGACGCCGGCGACGAGCATGGCCGAGTGGCTCAGGAGCGGCGGCGAGGAGGAGACGGCGTTCGAGATGGTGCACGGCGTGGGATTGTGGGGCGCCTGCAGCCGCGCCCCGGATCTCGGTGAGCACTTCAACGACGCCATGGCGGCTGACTCGCGGTTTATCATGGACATGGCCATCAACGGCTCGGGCCGCCAGGTGTTCGACAAGATCACCTCGATGGTGGATGTCGCGGGTGGCACCGGCGCGGCGGCCAGGGCGGTGGCCGCCGCGTTCCCGCATATCAAGTGCACCGTGCTGGACCTTCCTCACGTGATCGATTCCATCCCGGCTGATCATGGCGATGTTGTTCAGTTTGTTGCAGGTGATATGATGGATTTCATCCCCAAAGCAGATGCCCTCCTGCTTAAGGTCAGTTATATCCAATGTAGTGTTGCTGACAACTTTTCATGGCGGACGCAGCTTCAAAATATAGATGGGGCGGAGAACGGAAATGTTCACTCGATAAAAGCAATCAAACACAACACATATCGTATTTATAGTTTAATCACATAACTGCCTCGATCATTATTTGTGGCGTGCGTGCATTATGAAGAGACGGACTAATTTGTTGGACGTTCACACCTTGTCATACCTAATTTTGATGGCCCATGACTACTATAAGGGGGTAGAGGGTTCTTGGGGATGTAGAGCGACACGGGTCGTAGCTGGATCGGTCGATCCACCCTGCCTAATGGGTAGATCCGCCCCTGTTTTCATGTATTGGATAGCAAGCTAAGCTAGTACAAAATTTAAGACATTTTAGATTATAACATTAATTCTTGATGATTACAGTTTGTGCTACATGATTGGAGTGATGAGGACTGCATAAAGATACTAAAACGATGCAAAGAAGCAATTATTCCTTCTAGAGCTGCAGGAGGAAAGATCATCATTTTAGATGTTGTAGTTGGATCTTCTTCTGAAGCAATATGCCAAGGAACCCAACAATTGTTTGATCTGATTATTTCGGTTACGAGGAAGAGTGGTGCAAGATATTCAAGGAGGCAGGATTCACTAAATACAAGATTAGCCCAGTGTTAGGTTTTCGATCCATTATCGAAGTATTTCTATAGGTTTCCAGTATATGGGAACTCCACTTTATATATATTCTTGCACTCTTGGGTGTGGTTGTCTTCTTTTATCATTGTCTTATGCTTCATGGACGCGCTATATATCGTTATTTTCTCTGTAATATATATGCGAGGATGTCCTTTTCCCTTTTTGTCCAAGAAATCTACTAGCTAAATACCCGTGCTTTGCTACGAATTAAAGTAAATTATATGTGTGCTAATATTGTTTAGAATAAATTAATTGTGATGTTTTTGCACATTTTTGTTCTTGTTGATGTTTTTGTATGATAAACTTGTATTATAGGAATAATTGTTAAGAACTATTTTGTAATATTAAAGCACATGAAGTAGTAATTGGTAAAAAAAACATGTAGGAGTAGTTGGTTAAAAAAAATCTATACAAGAGTTATTGGAGTGACCTATTCACTGCCGCCACCATTGCCTTTTTTTAAAAGGAGCCTACAACTAATATTAAAGTAAATCATGCCCTTTTCCATCTCCTCATAAAATTATCTTTTTACCCTTTCTATCTAAGTACATGTATCAATACTTAAATATTTTTTACGTGATACCTTTTATTCTAGAGCATTATATCTTTACTATTTCTGAAGTGCAAACACCGTAAAACTTCTCTTTATTCATTTCAAATAGAGAGTCTTTTGTTTGGTACCTTGGAATATAATGGCCCTGCTCGAATTTCCAACAAAAGTTAGATAAACTTTTGGATAAAAGTGGCACGCTCTTCAAACTGCTAAACGTGCATTTCGTGCGAAAACTTTTTATATAAAAGTTGTTCTAGAATATCAGATTAATCCATTTTCAAGTTTATAATAATTAAAACTCAATTAATCACACGTTATTACCACCTCGTTTTACGTGAAACACTTGATTTTTATCTTTATCTTCAGAAGATTCAAACACCACCAATATCGTAATCAGGACATTGCGGTCGTGTCCACATTATGAAGATTTGTGAAATCTGAAATCGGAACTTTACCTCAAGTGGATCAGTCTCCCCATCAAGCTCGACCATAACAAGAGCATTCATGCTGCATAACAATAGATAAGCTCGAATTTATATGATTAATTAACTTAATTGATGATATACAGGTTACATTTTATAAAAAGCATACCTTATTTGCAAGGCAGTGTACCAAGGATGTGTGCACACTCGTATTTTGTCATATACATTGATGTTTTCTATGGGCGAGCCGTCTTTTTCATATTCCTTGTCATATACAGCATCCTCATTATTACTATTTCTGGAATACAAACACTATAAAGATTCTCTTTATTCATTTCAAGTGGAGAGTCTTTTGTTTGATACCTTAGAAGATAATGTCATAATCAGGACATCGCGGTCGTGTCCACATTATGAAGATTTGTGAAATCTGAAATCGGAACTTTACCTCAAGTGGATCAGTCTCCCCATCAAGCTCGACCATAACAAGAGCATTCATGCTGCATAACAATAGATAAGCTCGAATTTATATGATTAATTAACTTAATTGATGATATACAGGTTACATTTTATAAAAAGCATACCTTATCTGCAAGGCAGTGTACCAAGGATGCGTGCACGCTCGTATTTTGTCATATACATTGATGTTTTCTGTGGGCGAGCCATCTTTTTCATATTCCTTGTCATATACAGTATCCTCATTGTTACTATTTCTGGAATACAAACACTGTAAAGATTCTCTTTATTCATTTCAAGTGGAGAGTCTTTTGTTTGATACCTTAGAAGATAATGTCATAATCAAGACATCGCGGTCGTGTCCACATTATGAAGATTTGTTTTTTTCCGTACCTTTTGTCTTCAGCTTTTGTGATTAATGTATTCTCTGATGAAAATGTATTTGCAATAATGTACATTAAAGGAGAATGGTAGAGCATGAATACATAGTTATTTGCAGTAAGATTTTTGTAACAAGCATATCCTATTTGCCACAATTACCCTTCCTTGAATATTCCTTGCTATGTAAAGACAATATATCTTACTACAGATATATGTATACTTTCTTTTGTGATTATATGAAAGATCCCCAACACCCGCATATATTGCATAGACACAAAAGTGTGCCCTCTTTTAAAAAAGGCTCGAGAGGGGATGATAGGAATAAAACCCTGAACCACACCAAGTTTCTACGAAAAATAACTCACAGTTACATGTGTGGATATTGGCTTAATTATGATACCTTTGAGGATAATGCGGCCACAACTTCACCAATACAAAACAAAAAAAGTTGTTTCCTAGCCACACAAACATAAGATTTATTCTTAAAAAAAGAACGTCATGTGTTTGTTTCCCTATTCTATGAAAAAGTTCACACAAAGTATATACCATTTATTTTGTGCACAAAATAAAACCAGGTCTTAGCAAACTGTCACGTCAGTGTATACACATTCATCACAACCAAAAATGGGCATGTCAGCCAACATCTCTACTCTACGCATGTAGTAATAAATGAGAAAGCTGTTAGAATAATTGGGCTAGGCCCGATTTATTCTATTAAATATCAAAGGCCCATAATAAGTGTTAAGGATAATAATACCACCTCAGGAATTAAGCGAGGAGTATCTCAACTTAAATAGGGAGTTATTGGAGGCTCCCAGTTGACCGGTTGAGGTGGGAATCGGAAAGCCACACGCGCGCGCCGGGCCGGGGCGAGGCTGGCGTGCATGCGTGCCGTCACGTCTCTATCCTGTTTGCAACCACGATCCCACGTTCCCACGACTGCCTCCGTAACGGCGCGTGCACGATCCCACGACGTGTGTGCAGCAACTGGCTAGTCCGATCAGAACGATTCGCTCCCACGACTGCCTCCGTAACGGCGCGTGCACGATCCCACGACGCGTGTGCGGAATCTCTCCTGCTATATGTGCGTGCCGTCACATCTCTATCCTTTTTGCAACCACGATCCCACGTTCCCACGACTGCCTCCATAACGGCGCGTGCACGATCCCACGATCCCACGACGTGTGTGCGGCAACTGGCTAGTCCGATCAGAACGATTCGCTCCCACGACTGCCTCCATAACGGCGCGTGCACGATCCCACGATCCCACGACGCGTGTGCGGCAACTGGCGGAATCTCTCCTGCTATATAAGGAGGCCGCTAGTCCGATCAGAACGATTCGCATGCTTTCCTCTCCCTGGTGTTCTTCCTCCTCCGCGCGCGCCTGCTGCTTCTGTTTTCGCTTCCTCGCTTCTGATCGCTTTCACGCACGAGAGATCGGAAGGAGCAGGGCCTCCGGAACCACACCTTCGCCTGAGATCTGCACCGGGTAGGCGGGTGATCAGGTTTTTGGGGAGTGCTTCCCGCACGACTGCTCTGTTCGTTGTTGTCTCGTCGTCCACCATGTCTACGCCTGGACACCTGGAGCCGGAGCTGCCGCCGGCGCCGGTGCTGCTGTCTCTGGAGATGGCACGCCGGGAGCCGGAGCCGTTGCGAACGTCAACACCAACGGAGGCAATTCTGCCTCACAATCCAGCGGAGGGCCATTCTCGGTGTATGTCCTTCTCCTGCTGTTAACTCATTCGTTCATACCGCTGTTAGTCGTGTTAGTCGCAAGTCAGTTGCGTCCTTGGTATGTGCATGATGCTTATGATACCTTAAGCATGCTACTGGTTATGCTACATGTTGTTACTAGATCACCCCACATTGTTTATACTATGATTATTGTCTTAATATTTTGGATTAAAATATGCCGATATATGACCATATTTTCAACGATTCAAAAACCTGATAGGTCATTTTCGGTAGTTGGCTTTGCTGCTGCACTGAAACCATATGCATTTGATGGTTCTAACTATAAGAGGTGGAAAACACGTGCACTATTGTGGTTGATAGCGATGCAATGCTTCTATGTTTCACGGGGCAAACGAAGTGAACCACCTCTCTCTCCCAAGGAAGAGGCTAAGTTCGAGGCTTCGGATTGCCTGTTCCGTGGAGCATTGATCAGTGTACTCGCTGACAATATAGTGGACGTGTAAATGCACATGTCTTCCGGGAAGGACATGTGGGATGCACTTGAGGCCAAGTTCGGAGTTTTCGACGCCGGCAGTGAGCTGTATGTCATAGAGCAGTTCTATGACTACAAGATGGTCGATGACCATTCTATAGTAGAACAAGCTCATGAGATTCAGATGCTGGCTAAGGAACTTGAGAACAACAATTGTAAGTTGCTGGACAAGTTTGTGGCGGGTGGCATTATTGCCAAATTGCCACCTTCTTGGTTGGACTTTGCCACTTCTCTAAAGCACAAGAGACAAGAGTTCAGTGTTTCTGATCTCATTGGCTCTTTGGGTGTTGAGGAGAAGGCGAGGGCAAAGGACAAGGCAAAAAGGTTGAGGGAGGTTCTAGTGCCAATATGGTACAGAAGAAGAACCCTCATACATCCCACAACAACAAGAAAGTCAAGCCTGATGTCAAACCCAAGGCTGCAACCAACTTTAAGAAGAAAGGCAAGGGAAAGGCAAAGGGAAGCTGCTTTGTGTGTGGCAAGTCTGGGCATTGGGCCAAGGACTGTCCTGAGCGCAAAGACAAGAAGTCTTCCAACATGGTTATTAGCGAGGGCGGAGGAACATCGGGGTACGGTAAAATATTACCTACAGTTCTCTCTGTTTTTCACTCACCTGATTGGTGGGTGGATACTGGCGCTAATATTCATGTATGTGTTGGCATTTCTCTATTTTCTTCTTATCAGGTCGGGAGAGGTTCCTCCTTGTTGATGGGAAACGGGTCGCTTGCGGCTGTTCATGGTGTTGGTACGGTCGATCTGAAGTTTACTTCAGGAAAGACCGTGCAGCTGAAGAATGTGCAGCATGTCCCTTCAATAAAGAAGAATCTTGTTAGCGGCTCTCTATTGTGTAGAGAAGGTTTTAGACTTGTGTTTGAATCCAATAAATGTGTCATATCTAAATATGAAACTTTTGTTGCAAAAGGTTATGACAGCGGAGGCTTGTTCCGCTTTTCTTTGAATGACATGTGTAATAATCATAATGTTGTGAACCATATTAGCGAGAATGATGAGTCTAATGTGTGGCATTCGCGACTCTGTCATGTGAATTTCGGTTGTATGACGCGCTTAGCTAACATGAGTTTAATTCCAAAATTCACTTTGGTCAAAGGTTCTAAGTGCCATACTTGTGTTCAATCGAAACAACCTCGCAAGCCTCACAAGGCATCTGAGGTGAGGAATTTGGCACCTCTAGAACT